GGGAGAAAGAGCAAGAGAATGAATGAGAGAGATAGGGAGAGAGGAGAGCCTGCACCCTGCGCAGCCGTGGATGCCCACAGCCCTGCTCAGCCACGGGACACAGCCTCACACAGACCTGAGCCAGAGCCACAATGCAGTGGCCCTCGGGATCATCGGTGCCACTGTTCCTAGCTGCTCAGTCCTGGGCTGGCAGATGGTGGAGGAGAGTCTGTTCTCAGCACTTCCACGCCCCCTGCATTCCAGGCGATGCTCAGAGAGACAAAGTCTGATCCAGATGCTTTGGGACTTGCTAAGTTGTTTGTGTTTGTAGCAGGCAGGCGCTTAAACCCAGCACTGGCCACCACGGTGACCCACAGGGCTTCGCGCCTGCGTCCCAGCTACTTGGGAGGCAGAGGTGGAGAAGGGTGGTGGTTCAAGGCCTGCCTGGGGAAAAAAGCAAAAAGGGCAGCTTGGGGGGCATGGCTCAAGTGGTAGAGGGCCTGTTTAGAAAATTTGAAGTTCTGAGTTCAAACTGAGTACCACCTCCCACTCAAATTACCTGGGACAAGTCAATCTGAATAAGGAAGCGGCGATTGAAATATCTAAATTCATGGATGTAAAAGCCTTGGGAAGGAAGTCGGTGTTTGGTATTGTATCCCCACTTAAATACGTGTGACCAAATGCGGTCCTATCGTTCAAGCAGAATGCATATATCAGAGACTGACAATGGAAAAATAATAATAAAATTCACAAAATTTGTGCTTGAGAAGGAGGTGAGGTAGCAAAACATCCAAGTGTTCTACTTTCTTCTTGTTGGGAAGTAAAAACATGTAGCTAAAGGTTGGTGTTTGTCAACAATGTCAGAACTCCAATCTCAATGTTGCTTAATCACTTTTCTTTAAAGAGCTCTGTGAGGAAATGATCTTTTCTGGAAAAAATTTGTTTGGAGCATGGGAACATATAATTCATCCAATTTCATTTTAGCTTCTCCCTCCCTCCTCCCCCTGCCTCAACATTTCATTATTTCATTTATATTTTGTTTTAAAATGAGCAGAACCAGGGCTGGGTGTAGTGGTTCAGGCCTGAAATTCTGGCTACCCCAGAGCTAGAGATGAAGAGGATCGCAGTTCAAGGCCAGACTAAGCAAAAATTACTAAGGTCTCCTCTCAGGAAGTCATGTGTGGTGGTGAGCACAGGTCATCCGAGCTACAAGGAAGGATGAGAAAAATACCTGAAAAATAATTAAAGCTACAAAGGGCTAGTGGTAAGGCTACCTAGAAATGGTTGGACCCTGAGTTCAAATCCCAGTACTGCCCAAAATAAATCAGCATAGCTATATTTGTAAAATTATATTTCCATGCATTCTTCTGTCTGTTTAAGCACATACAAAATGGATGGAATAGCCAACACCAACATACATACAGGGACAAAAATTGTTTCTGCTAAACTTTAGGATGTTCGTTATCTTGTAGTCTGATCTGTCTTCAGTACTTTTATGTGTTGCTTGAGTTTTTTTTTTTTTTTGGGGGGGGGGGGGAAATGAGCAATTCTTGGTAGTACTGGAGTTTGAACCCAGGGCCATTTGAACATTTGAGCCATAACGCCAGCCCATTTTACTTTAGTTAATTTTTAGATAGAATTTCTTGATTTATTTTCCCAGGCCAGCCTAGAACTGTGATTCTCCTGATCTTCATATCCTGAGTCTCTGGGATTATGGATGTCAGCCACTGAGCCTGGGTACATTATTTTATAAAAGTAAGTGGGAGATAAATGAGTTAAGTGTACAACTTAAGGAATAGGAAGAAATAAAAATGGTTTCAAAGAACTAGCGAAGGCAGAAGCAAAAATTAGTGAATTTAAAAAAACCCAGAGATTTGATGAGTAAAATGGAAAACTTTCTTTGAGAAGTAAAATGGTAAAGAGTGATTAAGAGCTTTGTTCGTTGGGCTCTGGCCTGTGACAGGATGCCTGAGGAAAATCAGCTTGAAAGAGGAGGAAAGGGTTTTCTGGCTCATGACTTTGGAGGTTTCAGTCCAGGGTCCTGAGGTCCCTGTGCTGCAGGTCTGTGCAGGAGCACAGTGCTTGCCACATGGTAGCCAGAAGGGAGAAGAAAAGGGAAAGGGGGGGGGGAGGGCACCAGAGACAGGACACAGCTTCTAGAGCCATGCTCCCGGTGATCTTCCTCCCATCAGGCCCCAGGCCCTCGTGTTGTGAGGACGGCCACCAGGAGAGACCACATGACACAGAGTACAGTCAATAGAAAGTCTTTATTAGTTGGCCAGGACTACACCAGGCCATCGGGTGCCCAAAGTGCAGCCCAAGTCCAGTCTCAGGGCTCTTTTGAAAGCAGAACACCCACCTTCTTGTTTGCTCAGGTGGAAAGTCCCTAACTTCCCCCCCCCCCCCACAGGTGCAAGCCAAGCGGGAAGTGACAGAAGCCAGCACAGCACTGAGCTGGGCAGCATGACCATTTCCAGGACCCATCTCTATGACCCACTTGCTTAGGAGCATACACGGAACAGTGGGTACATATATCTTTACACGACAAACTGTAAGGAAGTAGTCTCATGAGTGCAAGTGCAGTCCTACCTTTAAGAAGGAGTCACAAAAGCAAAATGGAATTACAGAAGCTAAGCGTAAACGCTAAGATGGTGAGGTTTGATACGCCCTATCACCCTGGCAGCCTGAGAGCTACAGATTTACTGTCCGTCAAGGAAGTCAGCAGCCCCTCCCCCAGCCTCTTCACCATAGCTCTGGCACCAGGGACACAGCCTTCAACCAGGAGCCTTTCGTGGGTGGGGATAATTTATATCAAGACCTTAAGAGAGATTAAGAGCTGAGACTCAGCTAAGCACAGTGATGCACGGCCGTGATTCCAATGTAGAGGTTGAGGCAGGAGGATTGCAAGTTTAAGGCCAGTCAAGCCGGAACAGCACAGGGAGTTCCAGGTTGGCCTGAGCTGCATAGCAGAGGCCACCTCAACAAAGTGGGAGGCAAAGGGTAAGGACAGAGGGAAGGAGGAGGGACAGATAAGAAGAGAAAGACTCATATGACCAGTCTGAAGGAGGAAGGGGACATGCCCCTGTTGTTTCTTTCCTAAGTTTCTCCAAACCCTGACCTTTGCTCAGGCTGACAGCCCAGTTGTGTGAATTCATTGCATGACATTCTTTCCTTCCTTGAGAGTTTCTTTGCTTTTATTTCTTTCCAGTCCTGAGCTCAGCGTCTGAGCAGCGTCTGACCTGCTTTTGCTCAAGGCTAGCTAGCACTCTATCACCTGAGCCATAGCGCTACTTCCAGCTTTGTCTGAGTATGTGGTACTGAGGAATTGAACCCAGGACTTTATACATGTTGGGCAAGCTCTCCACCACCAAGCCACCTTCCTTGAGAGTTTTTCTACAGCAAGGTCTGGGCTACCCAGCCATGTTCACAGCATCCACACTGATGTCTTCCTCACTTCTGCCCTCTGGTGGCTCTCCATAGGACGCAGGCCACTTGTCCTCCCAGGTGTCCCCTGGCTTCTGCCTGTGCCCTCCTCCACATCGTCTTGATTTCTCTCTCCCTGAGGGCTCTCGCTCCAGAACTCAGGTGTTGGCCTTCGTGTCCTTTTCCTAACATGCCCCACACACCTAGTGTCAAGCAGCTGCCTGTGGGCCAAAAGGATGAATAAACTGCACAGGCCTGGGAGTGGCAGGGACCAGGGCAGCCCCTGCTTCCCTGATTTGGGGCTCTCTGGTCAGAAGGGAAAGCAGTGGAGATGACCATTTGTCATGGGGGTACACCAGGGGGAGGAGACGAGGGTCATCTATGTGCTGGTAATGCCATCTGTGGCTCACTCTGTCAAGTATACTGCTGGCCTGCGACGAGGCTCCAGGGCTAGAGCTGGGGCTTGTGATGAGGTTTTTTCCTCCTGGACCTGGGCAGATAAGAGTAGAGCAATAGTTACAGGAGACCATTGGCATACATGTGTCCTGAGGAGATTAGAACATGTGTGGAGTGACAGCTCAGGGACCCAGCAAAAGGGGTCCTCGGAGAACGTTTTCCCCAAGACCTGGGTGGCAGGAAGGAGCTGTCTGCTGAGGGTGATGTGGGTCTGCTCTGACTACAGCAAAGAACCACAGCCTAGGTGGCTTACACGTGACAGATGTACTTCTGACACACAGGAGCAGTCTGTCTGCATGGCTGGGTGCGTGGCCTCTCCCTGGTCTGACTGCTGCTCTCTTGTCCTCAGGCCAGAGGAGGAGGTGACACTTACTTTTGAAAATATCAGTATTTCCTAAGGTTGGCTTTATTCACACTTCCCAAAATAAGACATTTATCCTGCTTGGAGAACATCTGTGTATGAAGATGGCCTAAGGGGCTGGTGGAGGGGACTAGCAGTGGAAGGAATGGCACGAGGTCACTTCTGGGCCGTAGCGCTCAGAGCAGGCCGCCCAGGGCCTAACGGCCTACCCTTCCTCTGGTGAGAATAGCAGAGGGCCACGCTGGGGGCGGGGCTCTGGGCGGGGCCTCACAGGGGGCGTGCCTAAGCAGGGCAGAGCTTGAATGGGCATGGGCGCGGCCATAAAGGGGTGGAACCTTACTGGGGGCGGGTCCTCTCTGGGGCGGGGCTTGAGCAGGTAGGGGGCGGGGCTCTGGCGGGCACGAGGGCGGGACCGCGCAGGGGGCGGGGCGCGCGTGCGCCCAGGGCCAGCGGCCAGCGCGGAGCTCGCGCTGCGTGAGCAGAGTTCTTGGGCCCTCGGTCACCGTCTCCGCACCGTCACCTCGGCCGCCGGCCGCCTCTCGGTTCCTGAGCCGGCCCGGCCCGGGCGGCAGCGACCGCGAAGCCCTGGAGCAGCCTCCGTCGCCGCCGCCGCCGCCGCAGTCGCGGGCGCAGATGTCGCCCGGGCTGGGGAAGGCTGGCGTCGTTCCCAACCGCCGCCTGGGCTGCGTCCGCGGCGGGCCCGTGTCGTCGCCGCCGGGGCGCCGCGCCCGCTTGGCATCTCCCGGGCCCAGCCACCCGTGCTCTGAGACCCGCGAGGAGTTGCGGCGCCGCCTCCGCGCCCTCATCGACGGCAACCGAGTGATGATCTTTAGCAAGAGCTACTGCCCCCACAGCCAGCGGGTAGGCGGTGGGGCCGGCGGCCGGGCGGGCCGGGCTGGCAGAGCGGCCGGGCTGGGGGCGGGGCCTGCGCGGCCGAGGGGCGGGGCCGAGGGGCCGGGACCTGCGGAGGGAGGGGCGTGCGCGGCCGAGGGGCGGGGCCGAGGGGCCGGGACCTGCGGAGGGAGGGGCGTGCGCGGCCGAGGGGCGGGGCCGAGGGGCCGGGACCTGCGGAGGGAGGGGCGTGCGCGGCCGAGGGGCGGGGCCGAGGGGCCGGGACCTGCGGAGGGTGGGGCGTGCGCGGCCGAGGGGGCGGGGCCGAGGCAACTGAGACCCCCCCCGCGGGGGGCAGGGCCTGCGCTGTCCCGGGGGCGGGGCTGAGGGGGCCGACACCGGTGGGGCGGGACCTGCGCTGCTGTGGGGCGGGGCTGAGGAAGGCCCACACTGGCGGGGCGGGGTCTACGCTGCTGCGGGGGCGGGGCTGAGGGGAGCCGATACTGGTGGGGCGGGGCCTGCGCGGCGGAGGGGGCGGGGCCAGGTTGGTCCTTTCGCGGGGCTTCCCGGGAGTCCCGACCGAGAGCGTTCGGTGGTCCGGACGCGGTGGTTCGGTGGAGGTTGATACACGGCTGGGTGCGGGCTCCCGCCTCCCGCACAGCCCCGCTGCTTGGGCCTGTCCACGGATCGAGGCCCGCAACCCGCCGGCGGCACCCCGGTGTCTGCTGGTTCAACCGCTTAGTGGGGACCCGTGCGCGGCGCGGCGCGGGCGGTGCGCCGGACTTGCGGGCCGGGTTCCCGCATCTCACCCGGAGGCGGATTTAATTGAGCCGCCTTAGAAGGGAGCCGCTGGGCGGCGGGGCCGGGTGTGGGGCGCCGCGTGCCCGCCGGGCACGGGCCCGCCCTGCTTCCTGGATGCCGTTAGCTGAAAACCAGACGGGGTGTAAGCTCGGGGCGTGGTGCCCGGCGGCGCCTTCACGGGTCACCCTCCGCCGGTCAGGACCGGCTCTGAACAAGGCTGCCTTACCAAACCTGCGCGGTCGGGTCCGGGGTAGAATGGCGGGCCGTCCTTTCCCAGTTCGCTTAGTTTGCACCGAGCCTGCATGCGGGTTCTTTGCTCATTGCGGTGTTCACATGCACACGTGTCAAGATCATTGATATGCGTGCGTTGGCATGGGATTTCTTAAGCACGTATTCGCGTGTGTTCATTTTAAAAGTCAATGAAATAAGGCTAGTACCTTGGGCACCTCCTGGAGTGTCTTCTCCCTAGCTTTAACTACCGTCCAAATGCTTTTTTCCTAATGAATGGAGCTGGTTTGAGCAGAGGTAGGAGATGATGAAGACCTTGGTTGGGCGGAACATAAAGAATCTGAAGGAAGCGTGGAGGGTCATTGTATCTCAGACGGTGATGCAGCATCACCCGCTCTCCTCCTTCCTTGAGTTCATGCCTGGGTAGGAAATGCCTTGACTGTCTTCAACCTCCCTCATAGCTCTCCTTTTCCTTTTTTCCATTATGCTGAAACCCATGCCCAAGTAAAGCCTGTTCTGGGAGCCCATTTTCTCCATCTGCCATTGAAGTGGGGCTCGGGCCAGGCAGGTGGGGGGGGGGCAGGATGGGACACTCTACTGAGAGGCAGTGGACCTTCGCAAATACGTGTTCATTTGTTGAGCGCTCTTGCAGGATTTCCATAGACTTTAATACGTTTCACAGGGAGTGGGGCACAGACCTCCTGGGTTTATCTCTGGGGCTGAGAACATTGGAAGGTTTTGAGTAACATGGCACACGATGGCTTCGAAAAGCCCCCTTTGCTGTAATTATGGGAACTGGAGTTAGAGGGACACAAAGTTGATGCAAAGAGAAATCTAGTGATGCCACCAAGAAATTCCAGTAATAAATAAATACTGGTGGCTTAAATTCAGATCACAGCACTGGGGGACGGGAAAGATAAACGGGTTGAGCATGGAGAATTAAGACTTAGTAATGGCTGTGCTGGGAGGGATGGAGTTGCAAGTCCAGACTGGAAGCTGTTGCCTGAGGAGCTACAGGCTACAGGGAAGTTTGCTTAGGTCCCGCTGCTACCCTCTGAGCAGCAAGGTTCTCAAATTTCTCTTTCTAAATTAATTTTAAAAGTTATCTCTGATAGTACAAAGAGGTGTAAATTGTGTTGGTTTTTTTTTCCTGCTGATACCGGGCCTGAACACTAGGCCTCACAGTTCTTCCTCACAGCTAGCACAGTACCAGCTTTGCTCTTTGAGCCACACCTCCATTTCTCTGGGGTTTCTTGATGGGCAACTTCCCTAGAGGGAGGAGTTTGTGTTCTGCTGCAGATTTCCCACCCTAGATGTGGGACAGACAGGCAATGGAGGTAGTTAATGGCAGCTGAAAGGAAATACACGAGGAACTAATGTGAGAAAGACAGCTGTATCTGGGGCCTGGTGTTTGTGGGGAAAAGAAAAGAGATTTGGAGCCAGGCGCTGGTGACTCATGCCTATAATCCTAGCTACTCAGGAGCCTGAGATCTGAGGATCACAGTTCAAAGCCAGCCCAGGCAAGAAAGTCTGTGAAACTCTTATATCCAAAAACCACCAGAAAACTGGAAGTGGCGCTGTAGCTCAAGTGGTAGAGTGCTAGCCTTGAGCTGAAGAGCTGAGAGACAGCACCCAGGCCCAGAGTTCAAGCCCCACAGCTGACAAAAAAAAAAGAGAGAGAGAGAGAGAGATTTGGACAACACTGTACATTGGGGAGTCTTAGGCAGGTGACAATAAAATGAAGGCAAGACATATGTCAAGCAGAACTCTTATTTGTAAAGAACATTTATTTTGGCATCTTGTAATGACTGTGGCCTCATTTCATAATGAGGCTGCACCTTTTGTAAGACTGAAACTCAGCTATATTTTTGTTACAGGTTAAAGAGCTCTTTGCTTCTCTGGGAGTTGACTATAATATCTTGGAACTTGATCAAGTCGGTAGGTAGACATTTATTGTTCATGATAAAATGCCAACAACATCAGCTTCTTCTCACTTACTTTATTCAACTCAGTTTACTCTTGTCTCTTTGCGTTAGATAGTCCATTTTTATCCATATTCAACCATGCAGAGCTGGGTGCTGGTGGCTCCTGCCTGTAATCCTAGCTTCTCCAGAGGCTGAGATCTGAGGATCAGCCTGGGCAGGAAAGGCTGTAAGACCCTTACCTCCAATTAAACACCAGATAAAAGCTGGAAGTGGAGCTGTCGCTCAAGTAATAAGAGTACTAGCCTTGAGCAAAAAGGAGCTCAAAGACAGTGCCCAGACCCAAATTTCAAGCCCCAGGATTGGCACAAAAAAAAAGAGAGAGAGAGAGAAAAAATTCAACCGTGCAGAAACGAACATTTACATGACATAATTGATGTAGATTTTATTTATTCATTTTTGTATTTGAGGGAGGGAGTAGGGGAAGATGTAGAAGCTGCTACTTTTGAAGTCTTTGGGGGAGTTTCAGGTATAGCTGCCAACTCTCTAGCAAAATAGGTGGGCAAACAGAAGAGTCAGCTCCTGCTTCCCAAACATGCTGCCCAAAAGGAGGAGAGAACGCCACCTTCGAGGCTTTAGAATCTAGATCTTTGTGACCCCTCCCCCTGCCTGCTACTGAACAGTGCTGCACATGTGGGGTGGAGTGTGTCGTCAGAATTCTCACCTCCCTGGCTCTGTCTCGTTTGCAGCCAAATTGTCATAGGAAACAAAACAAATCTTTGTCAAATTGTCATTATAAAGGTGATGCACAGAGGAGTTGCAGCTGCATGTCAGGTAATGAGTGCATTTCTGTTTGGACAGTGTCACCTCTTCCATTGTCCTTCCATCCCCATCCACCAAATGTTTCTCTAGAGTATTCCAAACAAGTAAGTCTTTAGTAGTCATGACCTAGTTTTATTTTCAGTGATAGAGGATAAATTTTGGACTATGTTCATAAAGAATCTTTACATATAGTCATTGAGACTTATGGATTATCTTTCATCTTGATAATTGCTCTTTTTTTTGGCAGTCATTGTATTATTTTCCAAGCTGATTCAGAGGGCTTATTTAAAAAGGACTGGTTTTATGTTATAAAACATAATTATAAGTCCTGTCTGGCAAGGTTACAAAGCATCCAGGCTTCTTGCTGGTGGGCACCCACAGACACCCAGCGTAGTGACAGTCTACCCAGCTCACACAGGCTGGCACTCACGGCAGGCAGCGTGGTGACATTGGGTTGATTTCACAGAGGCCGGGCGTAGCAGTTCTTTATGGAGTTCTTTGTTTGTAGATGATGGAGCCAATGTTCAAGAGATGCTGTTGGAAATTACTAATCAGAAAACCGTGCCGAACATTTTTGTGAACAAAGTACATGTGGGTGGATGTGACCGAATCTTCCAGGTAATGGTTGCTTACCTACTTCAACGCCGCCTGCCCATATTATTTTAAAAAATATCCAAGGGGGAATGGTTCTTAGGAGTTGCTCTGTCTTTTGGAAGCTGTAAAATGGAAAAGGATGGCAATAGATAATCTTGCCAACCACCCAGTGAATGTCTGAATCTGAGAAGATGGTCCTTCTTGAACGAGGTGAGGAGGCCACACAGGCCTGGAGCCAGGCCGAGTCTCCCTGAGGGAGAGAAGCAAGGCTGCCCTCCAGGAGAGCGAGGTCAGCACAGACATTGATCTGGGATAATTAGAATTCCTTGCCAGCTCTGGGTGCTCTGCAGAGGCCCATGACTTGTAAGGATTTTGATTTGCAGAGTGCAGGCAGGAGTCAGGCAGTGACAGACTAAAGAATCAATGTTTATGTGGCTGCAGATGTAGCTTAGTGGTTGGTGGAGCCCTTGCCTAGCACTTACGAGGCCCTGGGTTTAGTCTCCAGCATGACTCTTCTCCCCATCTCCTCTACTGTGGATGCTTATTAAAGTCTTCATTATTAGTTACTTAATTTCATTAAAATTATGTTAAAGGGAATGCTTTATACATGTATGAAATGTTAATACTCAGTGACTGACTAAATACTTGTTTGAAATTGTAATTAATAATTATATTTTGGTTAGGGAAAAAGACTGTCTGCATTGAGCGCTAATCTGCAATCTGCCTCATTAGGCAGTAATTGACTGCTTTGTCAGCCCTAGAAAGTGCTCATGTGCAGGCTGGTAGGTACTGTGATTGATCACAGCCCCTAAACATTTGTGAAGTTCTGGGCTCATGGTCCTAACCTGAATCTAGAGGTAACAGAGGTAGCGAATGCACTTCAGGACTGAAAGGCTTGTCCTTAGAAAGCAGATTCTTAGAGAAGGATTTCTCTAGAAGCACCTAAAAGTAAGGAGATTGGTACCCTTTTTATGATGTTCTAAAAGCATCTTGGGCGCTCATTCTGTGGGGCGAGTCTGTAGTTATGAAACACCTGTTCTGCTTCCCAAGCGCAGGATTGAGTAAGTGCCTTTGCATAAAGAAAATGGTTGTTAACCTCACCCAAGAGAGGGATGAATAGAAGAGCTGGCATCGTGGCCCTTGCCAAAACCACAGGTGATGTGTTCTGTGGGAAGCTCCCCAGCATAGTCACAGGATTCAGCTCAGTCGTGAGGCGCGATGGGGAGGCACAGATACTGCACCAGAGTCACTTTTTTTTTTTTTTTGTCCAGTCGTGGGGCCTGAACTCTGGGCCTGGGCGCTGTCCCTCAGCTCTTCAGCTCAAGGCTAGCGCTCTACCACTTGAGCCACAGCACCACTTCCGGCTTTTTCTTTCGGCTTATGTGGTGCTGAGGAATCGAACCCAGGGCCTCTGGCATGCAGGGCAAGCGCTCTACCACTGAGCCACCTTCCCAGCCCCCAGAGCCACTTTTAAAAGGAAAATTAGCACAGGAGAACGAGGACCAGGACGCCGATGTCTGCTCACTTCACTGCCCTCAACTGTGATATTTTGATCACTAGACCTGGGAACATGACAGAACACAGCCTGTGCCCTGGGGCCATTCGGCAGATGCCTCACCATGGGGTGCGGGCAGGGCAGCAGAGTGCCAGGCTGACGTCACACTGGCTGCTCCCTGTTAGGATAGCATCCGGAGAGACTTACAATTCCAATGTAGACATGTCAATTTGTTTCTAAGGTATTTTTAAAATAAAAGACTTCCATGCTGATTGCACACTGAGTACAAATGAAGTTTTAAACCGTTCATTCACTGGGCATTCTTTCTGCTTTGGTGGGCTGCAGGCGCATCAGAACGGGCTGTTGCAGAAGCTCCTTCAGGAAGACTCGGTGCACGACTACGACCTCATCATCATCGGCGGGGGCTCCGGGGGCCTCTCGTGTGCAAAGGTGTGGACTGGAAATTAAGCCCACACAGGACATTTTCTAAAAGTTAATCTTAATGTTGTGGTTGAAGCTTTTATTATGATAACTTGTTTAATTTAGGGAAAAGACTGCTCTCTTGTAAAACGTAACTGTTGTCTGTTAAGGGTAGAAAAATGGAGGACAAGAAAATGACAAGATTTTTATATATAGCCTTTTTTTTTTGTAGGAAGCTGCCATTTTGGGAAAGAAAGTGATGGTGCTAGACTTTGTGGTTCCATCCCCACATGGCGCGTCCTGGGGTAAGCCGCTCTGTCTGATGTGCTGTGCTTTACCCAGGCCCACCGAGCCCCACCCCTCTCAGGAGTCTAAGCCAGCTGTGCTCCATGTGTGACAGTGTGACGCCATCGCGGAGAATGGTACAGCCGTGACTGGTGCTCTGGCACTTCTGCCGCATGGTGTTTTCTACCCACGAGTGTTCATATTTTTGCATTGTTGTGGTCCCAGTGTTTGTGCTGGGTCCCGGGTCTGCCTGAACGCTTTCCTGTTCTGCACCCGTTCTGGAGCTGGGTTTGCTGGCTGTGGCATCAGCGTGTTGTATCTGCTGAGTAAGGGCGGGAGCGAGGCGCAGCCTTGCTGCTTGCTCGGACAGTGCTCACTGTGGAATCGAATGTGCAGCTGTTGTGCTAGATGTTCTCCGTTTATTCTTCAGACACATTCTCCTTTCATCTCTGCCCAGAGAACAGGTCAGTTGGCACCTTGTCCTCAGATTTCCAGCTGCGCATGGCCAGTAGTGGGAAGGGAGAGGGGAACAGGGAGAGAGGAGAGGAGCTGGGTCTCCTCCTGTGAAGGCCACCTTCAGGGCCCTGGTGGCCGTTCAGGTTCCTTTTCCCTCACACAGGGCTCCCAGTGCACCCTACGAGCCCTTGTAATTCCTGTCTCTATTCAGTTTCCCAGCCTGACTGTGTCTTTTTTTTTTTTTTCTGTCGGTCGTGGGGCTTGAACTCTGGGCCTGGGCACTGTCCTCAGCTCTTCAGCTCAAGGCGAGCGCTCTACCACTTGAGCTACAGCGCCACTTCTGGTTTTCTGGTGGTTTATTGGAGATAGGAGTCTCACGGTCTCTCCTGCCAGGGCTGGCTTTGAACTGCGATCCTCAGATCTCAGCCTTCTGAGTAGCTAGGATTACAGGCGTGAGCCACCAGCGCCCGGCTGTGTCTTGTCTTGAGCAGTGTACACTTATCTCTTTCCCCTACTTCTACCTTCTTCCTTTTTTTTCTCCTGCTTTCTCCCTTTCCTGCCCAGACACGACCCAGTCTATCAGGCAGACATGAGGTGAGCACAGTCAGGGAGGGAGTCCCTGGCTGCCTGGCAGGGCTGGCGCTGATGTGCTGTGGTGGCCTCTGACTGTGGGCCCTGACGCTGTGCCTCCACGCCTGGCAGGGTGCTCGCCTCACAAGTCTAAGGCAGCTCCCATCCCTTGTGCGTCAGATGCAAGCAAGAGGTTTGGCTCTGCCTCCAGAAAACTCTCCCTCTAACACCTATGGCTTTGCTTGTTGACTCCGTGATGCAGAGTTGTGTCTCACTGGGGGGCGGGGTGTTTCTCCACCACCATTCAACCTGGCCACGCCATGTTTCAGTAGCATGATGCAGAAGGAAAGCACGCACACGGCATCACAACTGCTCCTTCTCCCCAGGTCTTGGCGGCACTTGTGTCAATGTGGGCTGCATTCCTAAGAAGCTGATGCATCAGGCTGCTCTCCTGGGCCAGGCGCTCAGCGACTCGAGGAAGTTCGGCTGGGAGTACTCTCAACAAGGTGAGAAGGACAGCCTGCTATACATACTTCATAGCCGAGTTTGAAAGTCATTTGGTAAGCACTTGCCAGGCTGACACTCCAGGCTCTGTGGCCCCTGCGCAAGGCTGAGGGTTGTCCAGTTAGTATCCCAGCTAGGTGTGGACTGGTGATTCTCCATCATGGTGGCTGTAAGAATGTCCTGTGGGCTTTAAGAAGCCACCACAACTCATCTCTCCCCATGGTTCCCCTGCCGCAGGCGTGGACCAGGCCTCTCTAGAGTGTCTCGGGTGATTTTGAGGCTTGGCCAGGTGGCACAGGCCTTCTGGTCAGGTAGAAGAGAGAGGAAGGGTTGGGAGCTGGGGATGTGCAGCATGGGCAGGGCAGGCCTGCGGTCGGGCCTGGCAGGGTTGAGGATAGTGGGCTGGGGCTTCACTGTTCTTGTAGGCAGAGGAGAGTGCTAGCTCAAGCAGGCACAGCCTGGTTGTAGCTAGGACCAGGCCTTCCCACTGGCAGCGTGACTTCTAGACAGTCTTTTCACCGAGGAGATGCCCCTTGATGGCCCGCAGCTCAGAGTGCCGGCATGTGTGAGGTCCCCAGAGAACCCTCCTTGTCTCAAGTCCGCCTCTTGCATGGAAGCCCAGGCGAGGTGCTTCTGGTTAGTGACTCAGATGGGTGCCAGCCAGGATGTTAGGAACCCTGAACGGCCCTCCTGGTACCCTCAAGGCAGTAAGATTCCAGTCTGAGGGTAGTGAAGACAAACCATAGCAAGGAGTAAACCCTAGAGCCTTGGTGGTGAAGGTGGAGGTGGCTTGCTTATGTGGGTGACCCTCGCATGCCATGATTCATACCAGCTGGTAACCAGGGGTTCCTCTTGTCTGCCCTTCAGTGTCTCACCTGCCTGGACTCCATGTTAGGGAGTCGGATGGGATGTCTCACGCCCACGGGCCTCACCGGAAGTTACTTGTTGTTCTTTGCAGTCCAGTAGGGGCCTGTGTAGGGCAGTGCTAGATCTTCCTGAATACACATCACAACAGCCCCCTGGACGTTAGGTAGACGTTATATATGAGGAACTTTGAGGAATCTCATTTCCTCCTGTGAGCACAACTGAGATTCCTCAAAGCTGCCCATTGCAGAATGCTTTGTCATTGCTGGGATGAGGTGTGGAGACATCCTCAGTGGCTGGGAGTGGAGACCGCATGGTGCGAGAGTGCTTGCTAGCACGGGCCAGGCTCAGAGCTTATCCTCAGGCCCCTTCCCACCCGCAGAAGAAATAGTTACTCATTTGGGTAGCTCACCTTCATAATGAAGAAATATAAATTAGGAAGCAATGTAAAGGCCTAGGGTGTTGCCTTGTGGTAGAGGGCTTGCCTAGCTTTGTGAGGCCCTGGGTTCCATCCCCAGCACCACAAAAGAGAAAGAGAACATGCACGCCCTGTCACCAAGGCCTCTCATACCCAATGAGTGGCTGTGGGGGGGTGTGGCCAGCCACGCTGGTGCTCACTGACTTGAGCCTTCTGCACTCCCACAGCCCAGGGGTGCAGGCTTGGTAGAGGGAGGGGGGCATCCAGGAGGTGCTCCATGATGAAGGCCACCCTCTTTGTTATGTGGTGGGCATCAGCTACCGGAGAGGTCTGCTCTCCTGCACGGCCTTTCCCATGATGCTTGTATTATCTCTTCTTACAGAGCCCTGATGCTTGCAGGGCCTTGTTGTATGAAATGGAAATAGGTATAAGTTCTTTCTGTCCACTTCTGGGTTTATAAAGCAATAGGTAATACAGCTAATATGTGGCTATATGCAAGTTACCATTATAAGTAAAAGTCCACAGGTGTGGTCATACACATGGACAGTCCAGCACTGTCTTCCAGGGCAGGAGGATCATGCGTTTGAGGCCAGTATGGGCTATGTTGAGATACTGTCTCAAAGATAAATATGATGCACTTCACACCCGTGCCTGCTTCTGTTTTTCAGTGAAGCACAACTGGGAGACCATGACACAAGCGATCCAGAGCCACATCGGCTCTCTGAACTGGGGCTACAGGCTGTCCTTGAGGGAGAAAGGCGTGACCTACGTCAATTCCTATGGAGAATTTGTTGAGCCTCATAAAATAAAGGTGTTGTCAGATGCCCTGTCCTGTCCATGCTGCACATCAAGGATGGGGGCCAGGCATCCACGCACGCATGCACACCTATGCACACAGCACAGACAGCACAGACCCAGTGCAGGGCATACACATGGCTTCACATCCATCTGCATTTCTCCCATTGTTAATTACCCATATGTGGGCTAAATTGAAGAAATTGCATTTTAAAGACCTCTTCAATAGTTTAAAAGGCTAAAAGATTTAGCATTTTAGCTGTGGAATCCTTTCTTTTTTTTTTTCATCCTGGGACTTGAACTCAGGGCCTAGGCTCTGCCCCTGAAATTTTCAGCTCAAGCTAGTGCTCTATCTCTTGACCCACAGCTCTATTCCATACTTCTGGGTAGTTAATTGGAGATAAGAGTCTCATGGACTTTCTTGCCCACGTTGGCTTCAAACTATGGTCCTCAGATCTCAATTTCCTGAGTAGCTAAGATTACATGCATGAGCCACTCATTCCCAGTTGGAATCCTTTTGTATACTGAAATGTTAACTATAACTCCAAAGTATACTGTTCATAAGATCCTGGATAAAGTATATCAGAATTAATATATTTATGTTTATGATATTTATGTTATCAAATCAGTACTGTAAGAACAATGAGATCATTTTTTTTTTTTTTTGGTTCTGGTCGTGGGGCCTGAACTCTGGGCCTGGGCGCTGTCCCTTGGCTCTTCAACTCAAGGCTAGCGCTCTACCACTTGAGCCACAGCGCCACTCCGGCTTTTTTCTTTTTGCTTATGTGGCCTCAGGCATGCAAGGCAAGCGCTCTACCACTGAGCCACCTTCCCAGCCCCACAATGAGATCATTTTGATGAACACAGAATTTTTAAGATAGAATTATGAAAGACAGTCAACTATTATCCGCAGAACTTAGTGCTTTGCTCTGGGAGATCATGTAAGATAATCTGGATATGATTCTGATTACTCTGCATCAGCTGTTAGCTCACTGAGGTGGTCATTTAGAGTGCCCCTCTAAAGCTATGCATGGGCAATACATTATTCACAAGAAAGACTGTAAAATACAAGTTTTATTTCTCACGTTGCAGTGTGCCTGGTGCAGATGGTTGAATAGCCAGCCATTCCCCAATTGAGTCTGCCCCTCCTGAGGGCCTCAGCAATATCGGCCTCTCCTCAGTGGCTCAGACTAGAACCTTGAGCTCTTCCCCTCTGCCTGTGGCCGGCACTTCTGGTGTGTCTCAGGACTCCTGAGCAGGCCTGTGCCCCTCCTCTGTCTGACTGCTCATGCCAGCCCACAGGTTTGAATTCTTTATATGAAGGTGTGCTCTGAATAATCTCTATAATTACAAACAGTCCACAACCACAGCTGACTCTCCATGAGAAGGCCTCCACTTTGGCTCTTGTTTGTTTCATTTCACCACTGACACATCCATGTACTATTTGCTTCAGGCCACTTGACAGCCCCCCAGCCCAGCTCCTTGCAGGCCAGGTGCCTTTGGGCGCTGCTCACTCTTTCCGGCTCCATTCCTCTTGGTCATCTCACTCCACTCATCTCTGGTTTGAATATATGCTGACCTTTTGCTCTGCTACCCCAGCCCACAGTGCGCTTTGACTACCATTTTGTAACAATCTCTGCTTCCGTGTGCTGCACTGTTGTTTTTGCACACCTGTTACTCTGTTGAATTAGAAACCCTGTTAACTATGGATAGAATGAAGTTTTTCCCTTATGTCTGATACTCTATAATATTAACTAAGTAAGTGAAAATTGCTTTCCTTTATTCAAGGCAACCAATAAAAAAGGACAGGAAACGTATCATACTGCCTCAAAATTTGTCATAGCAACAGGTGAAAGGCCACGCTACTTAGGAATCCCAGGAGATAAAGAATACTGTATTACTAGGTAAGGTTAAGTACTCCATTCTGACTTTAATCAACAGCATTGCCTTTATATGTCTTCAATGGATTTACTCCCTTATTCCACAAAAGCTTGGACTGATCACACTAAATGCTAAGTAATGAAGCAAAGATGAAATAAAATTAGATGAATAATAAGAGTGGGAAGATTTATGTACAAAACTATGCTCTGTCTGGGTAATTGCTAGAAAAGACCTGAGAATTTGCTTCTAAACTTCCTGCAGGCCTACTAGCTTCAGGGTGTAGGGTCCGACTGAAGGCCATTAAAACTGGAGCCCAGTAACATTTTGGTTGCATGGCCCAGGCATTCTTTCTTTTTCTCTTTCAGCGACGATCTTTTTTCTCTCTCCTACTGCCCTGGGAAGACCTTGGTGGTGGGCGCCTCCTACGTCGCTCTGGAGTGTGCTGGATTCCTCGCTGGCTTCGGCTTGGATGTTACAGTCATGGTGCGCTCAATCCTTCTTCGTGGCTTTGATCAAGAAATGGCAGAGAAAGTGGGCGCCTATATGGAAAAGCATGGCGTGAAGTTCATAAGAAAGTTTGTGCCTGTGGCGGTAGGTGTGAATGACATTTGCAATTCCTTCAGTTGTTCTTCTTACTCTTTAACTTTTTAAGTTTACCTCTCCTGCATTCAATTAATGAAATTAGTCTGAGCCGGGCGCCGGTGGCTCACGCCTGTAATCCTAGCTACTCAGGAGGCTGAGATCTGAGGATTGAGGTTCAAAGCCAGCCCGGGCAGGAAAGTCTGTGAGACTCTTATCTCCAATAAACCACTAGAAAACCAGAAGTGGAGCTGTGGCTCAAGTGGTAGAGCTCTCGCCTTGAGCTGAAGAGCACAGGGACAACACCCAAGCCCAGAGTCCAAGCCCCACAACTGACAAAGAAAAAAAAAAAAAGAAATTAGTCTGCACTTAAGTAGCATTGCAAATAATATAACACCCAGGATCCACAAAAGTTCACTCACTTAATTCTTTCTCTGGTTGCTTGAGACAATGTCCCTGTTCTCTAGGGCTAGGGCTGCTCTCTTCTCTCTTCTCCTCTCCTCGCCCCGTCCTCACAGAGTATTTATCTTTAGTATCTTCTTGCCTCTGAGTCACATCAGTATGTCTTGTCCTGAAACACTGAAGACCTCCATGCCTTTCTCACTGCCTGCCTGCCTGCCTCCTTTCCTCCTTCCTCCCATGCTGCTTCTTACCTGTATTTCACTAGTCATTTCTTAACTGCTGCCATCTCTATCACTCCTTGAAACTACCTTTCAAGAAATGTAGTGGTCACACATTTCTGTCCTCATTTTATTCTGTGCCTCCTGGCAGCTCATGAGGACACTTGCACACTCCATCATTCACATATAAATATGCTCACACACGTAAACTCTCACATGTAAGTATGCCATGAAGGTGCACTCACAATGTAGATCCTCATGCACACATAGGTATGCTCACACACATACGTCTTTGGACGCATTTGTTCTCTGTCACCATAAATAGAATCATGACATGATTTATCCTTACTAGATCCAACAGTTGGAGAAGGGTTCACCTGGAAAGCTGAAAGTATTGGCGAAATCCACTGAAGGACCAGAAACCATCGAAGGAGTATATAACACAGTGAGTTTTTGTTTTATAAGCAGTATGTGAATGAACACACTCAGAAATTAGCAGAAATTGAACCTACAGAACCTCCATACTGTGATGAGTGTTTATTCTTTGGGAGAGTATATAGATAGGGAGAAGAGCTCTTATCAGTGGTTTCATAAAGAATACCATGAGGTCATTGGATGACCTCCATTAAGCCAGTCTGTTCCTCTTAAGAGTAGAGCTGGGGGTTGGGAGACTGCCAGTTGAACCACACTCCTAATCCCATGGGGAGAAGCTGGACTTCCTCCTTGCCACTGCAGTGTTCATGCAATTCTGAAAGAATGCAGTAAGGTAAGCCCTCTAACCAGGGCTTTGGCTCCAGTTGCACAAATGCCAATGCAGAAACACAAGAAATAGGAAAAAGCAAAAGTCAGTAGTTTCACAAAAATGGACATTCAGTGCTGAAGTAAATGAAACCCCAAAGCACTCAAAAGAACAATAATAGGAATGATCTAGGTCAAAGATGACACAAATAAGCACTTAAATTCATTGAAGAAAACTGCATTTTTCCATTTGTAAAGTTTATAAACAAACAATGGAATGAAATAATGGAAGATGTGAAAGAGAATTTCTGGGGGAAAAATTAAAATTTAGAATGAAAAGCTTAACAAGTCAAATAAAATTCAGTTGAAATCCTTATCAATAGACTAGAATAAATAAAAGACTATGGAGGCATGAAGAAAAGGTAGATGAATTATAGTGTTCAGATACCGTTAAGAAAACCAGAAAAGTACAAATGGAACATATGAGATAACTAGACCATTACTGAAAGACATAACTTACAAGTTATAAGCATAAAAGATGGTGTAGTCAACAGAATACTAGTAGAAAACCCAAATCTTGAGAAGAGATGGTTATTCAGGAATAGAAACTGGAGTACCAGACAAGGCCAGGCAGAACCTGGTCTGAACATTCAATGTTTTTTGTTCTGTATTTTCAATCTTAAGACAGCCCCATAACATTGGGCATACAGAATAAAGAATATTGAAAGCTGCAAAAGGGAAGCACAAGATGCCTATATCCCAGTAGAAACTCTAAAAGGGATGAGGGCAGGAAATGATGTTTCAAGCCTTGAAAGAAAATAACTGCCAGTCTAGATTACTGTATCCAGATTACTGTATCTAGATTACTGAATGAGACACTAAACCTTATGTGATAAAAATGGGAGCAATTCATGAGCATGAGCCACACTACAGACGATATTTCAAAGAAGCCTACCACAGAAGAAGAGAAATACAACCATGAGAATGTGGGGGAGAACAAATCTCGGTAGAAGAATAAGCAACTAAGTACCAGGGATGAATCAGGAATTAGTATAGTTCAATACTAACTCTGAGTGCTAATAGTCTCAGTTCTCCAAATAAAAGACATAGACAGGAGGATTGGATATTTTTTAAAAGGCTGGGCACTGGTGGCTCATGCTTGTAATTCTAGCTACTCAAGAAGCTGAGATCTGAGGATTTCAGTTTGAAGGCAACCTAGGCAGAAAAGTCTGTGAAATCTTTCTCCAATTAACTACTAAAAAGCTGGAAGTAGAGCTGTTGTTCAAGTGGTAGAACACACACACACACCCAAGACCCAATCCCTTGTTGCCTACAAGAAATGTACCTTACTGGCAAAGACAGACTAAAAGTGAAAGCATGAAAAAAGATGCTCCAAGAAAAGGGAACTCAAGAGAAAGCAAGAGTGGCTATATGCATATACTGTATACATATGCTCATGTAGTTAAAAACTGAACATGTGGGTGTGGAGCCTCAAATTATAGTCCCAGCTCCCTGGGATGTGGAGATCTTGGTTCCACGATAGCTCAGGCAAAAACAAGTTCACAAGACCGCATCTCAACTGATGGCTGGGAGAAGTGGCATGCACTTATTTTCTCAGCTGGGGGGCAGCACCATGGCTGGACACATGCTGTCATCCTCAGCACAAGTAAGCTGTCCTAGGGAACACTTGTGTGCACTGTGCTCAGGACATGCCTGTGTGGCTTCATCTCTCTGCTTATAGCCCTCTGCTTATAGTCACTTGCACTTGAGCTTAGCCCTTCAACGCATAGGTTTTGAGGGACACACAGGCTCACGTGGACTTCTATCATAAACCTTCGGAGGAGTGTTCACCTAAGCTGACAAACAAGCTGGTACAGGTTGCTTATAATACTTATGTCCAGCCCTTTAGCAACAGAAAGTATCTATAGTGCTGTCCCTTATTTCTCTCCTATTTTTTAAATTTCTTCCTAAACGTAGGTTTTGTTAGCAATTGGTCGTGACTCATGTACAAAGAAAGTAGGCTTGGAGAAGATTGGTGTCAGAATCAACGAGAAGTAAGTGTGTGAATGAGCACAGGGCTGTGGTGGGTGGACACACTGTATACTGCACTGCAAAGCACAGCTTTGTCACACCCCCTCTTAGGTTGCTCAGTTAGAAGATATAAAATGTTTAGGCTTTAAATTCTCCTTGTAGTCAGGACTATGCCAACTCTGTACTCTGGTTTTTTCAGTCAGTCACGCTTACTATGTGCCTTAAAGAGTACATGTATCTGACAGCTGTTTAAATACAGATTAAATATATTTGTGGAAATATATGATGCAGTGTCTGTGAGAATGAATTCTGATGGTACTGACTAATGAAAAAGAGCCTGAAGATCCACTGAGACATGGGAAGAGTCTGGCAGTGTGTGACATGGGAAGAGTTGGTGGTGAGCCTTGGCACCCAGAAGTGTGCATGCTGGACCACAGAGGCACTGCCTTTTGGAATGATGGAAACCCTGGTTATTTTAAGGTGTTGATCTTAAATTAATAGAGATTACCGTTAGCCCGAGGTATGTGAGTTCTCAAATGAAGGAGGGCTTTCCTTTGTGTAGTTCTTCATATGGAATGCTACCAGTCAGCAGTACCGTTAGTCACAGATTTCCTTTCCTTGTCACACACAACCAGGAGTGGCAAGATACCAGTGAATGATGTGGAGCAGACCACTGTGCCCTATGTCTATGCTGTTGGGGATGTCCTGGAGGGCAGGCCGCAGCTCACTCCAGTAGCCATTCAGGCAGGCAAGCTGCTGGCTCGGAGACTCTTTGGGACCTCTCTGGAAAAGGTAACATTCTTCCAGGTGCTAATGGTGTCCTTGTTCTCTGTGAGGCTGGAACCTTGTGTGCTTCTCCCCTGGCCCCGAGGTAATATCTGGAAGTTGAGACCGAACACAGCAGCACAAGTAATGCTTGTGCGATCACTTTCCAAGTGAAGGTTTCCCAGAGATGGATTTGCAGCTGGCTCACTGTTGAGTAGTTACTTTACACAAATATGGCTGAGTTTCTCTCTGTCCAAGATGGTGCATTGATTTAATTAAGACCACCATGGTCCAGCCCTACAGCTTACCAGTTGGTTGGTGGTCATGAGTCAGACAGCATGTTAAATAGTAAGGCAGAACATGAGTATGTGCCATAAGCCAGTTGCTTTCGGGCCATGGGGAGGACACTGCGCTGTCACTGCAAAGGATGGGGAAAGGCTTCCTCCGTACATGCAGAAGGGCCCTCAGCGTGGCCAGGGGCTTCAGTGCCTGCTTGGGGAGACTTGGTCAAACCTCTGTCACCACTGTTGGGCCAGTGCTGTGGGTCCAGTGGTTTGCAGTGTTCATATTCTTTGTGTTCTTGGGATAGGCTTTGTAGGATGAGCAGATCAACATTAGGGCAGCAAGGATTTTTCTGAAGGTCAGTTGTCCAGGTAAGGGCATGGAGTCTGCAACATATGGTTTGTCTGAGGACTGTGGTCACCTCATGGCAGTCTCTGAGACCAGTGTAGACGAGAACATGGGATGTGTGCTGTGGGCATTGCTAGCAGGGCCAGGCATGTCACAGGAAGGGCTGAGAACCATGATGCAGGTGATATGTTGAGGAGTTTGTACACAGAGTAGGCAGGAGTGGGCGGGAGGCTGTCCCGGTGTGAGGAGCTGGCAAAGACCTTACTTCTCCCAAGTTTTCCTTTAGACGCAGGAAGGGTGGTAAAACCACTGCCCATATTAACCCAGTGACTAGTCTGCCATTTCTGCTCACTCCTTTTCTGATACATGTGAACATAGATATTGTGCATATACTCTTTCCTCTTCTTTTGGCTGAGCTTTTTGAAATGGCGACATCAATGGTGCCTTGCCCCTTGTACTTTTTTTTTTTTTTTTTTTGGTCATGGGGCCTGGGTGCTGTACCACAGATATTCAGCTCAAGGCAAGCACTCTACCACTTGAGCCACAGTGCCACTTCCAGTTTTCTGTTGGTTTATTGGAGATAAGAATCCCATGGACTTTCCTGCCCAGGCTGGCTTTGAATCGAGATCCTCAAATCTCAGCCTCCTGAGTAGCTAGGATTACAGGTGTGAGCCACCAGCACCTGACTTGCCCCTTGTACTTCTGTCTGTGAGTATAAGCTCACTGCATCACATGGCACCTGAGAAGGTCAGCCAAGGGGGTAGTCATCTCTCCATGGAGAGAGAGAGACAGACAGACACAGAGACAGAGTGTGTGTGTGTGTGTGTTGGTTCACCTGCCACCATTGCCACTTAACAACCTTCTAAGTCCCTTTAAATCTGACAGTCCTACTACCTTTTGTAAATGTTTGTAATAGTTTTTTTCAGAAACACTGTCACAAAATAGGAGAATGTGATTTGTTGTCTTCCAGTGTGATTACACGAATGTTCCCACCACAGTGTTTACCCCTCTGGAGTATGGCTGCTGTGGACTATCTGAGGAGAGAGCTGTTGAAGTTTACAAAAAGGAGAACATGGAGGTAAGATCCTGTGCCTTGTTTGCCTCTTGAGATCTTCCCTTTAACCCGCCATCGTCTTGCAGCTCTTTCTGTCTTGTCATTTTGTAAGTTGCTATAATGGCTACATTATAGAAGATGACATTTCTATTTCAGGAGAATTCAAATTAATCTTTTGTGCAAAATAATTAAAGAACTCCAACTGGGGAGTGGGGATTTAGAAGCAACAAGTCTGCAAGGCTCTGAGTTCAAGACCCAGTGCTGGCACACACAAAAAGAAGAACATATCCTTAAAGAACTGAATCTGAAGACTGAAGTAACAGTTCCAGGAGAGATTGGTGGAGCACAACTACCAGTCTGTCTCTGTGATTGGTCCTTGGGAATGTAGGCAGAGAACCTCCTCAGACCTCTCTCTTGGCAGTGTTCAGTGCCAAACACAACAAATGATGTCTGTTGACTTTTGACATGCATTGGTACCCAAGTTCAAGTCCTTGCGCTGCCCAAAGGAGCAACAGCCGCCCTGCTCTTGCCTTCTAGGTGTATCACAGTTATCTTCTAGATGTATCATCCTTGTCTTTTAGGTGTATCACAATTGTCTTCTAGGTGTATCACACTTTGTTCTGGCCCCTGGAGTGGACAGTAGCTGGCAGGGAAAACAACGCCTGTTACGCAAAGATAATCTGCAACAAATGTGACCACGTACGTAGCCAGCCTGGCACTCTCACTTATGGGGCTGGGGTTGAACACAGTGGGTTCCACCATGGAGCCCACCCCTCCCCCCAAGGGCTGGCATTTAAAAGCAGAGATTTGTTCCTAGCAAGAGGGCTTTAGTCTCTTTAGAGCCACGCTTCAGGACGAGAGTTCTCATAGCCATGGCAGAGGTGGACGCCAGTGCTCCGGGGCTTCTCCTGGGCTTTTCCTGGGCTTGCTGTGCATTAGGCTTGTCAGTATAGAGCGAACCTTTTGGTCGTTACCTGTGCATCCCAGGCCGCAGTGGCTTGGGGACCGTTGCTGCCTGAGGTCAGCTGGCCCATGGCCCTTCCAGTACTGTCATCAGTATTGAAGATGAACAAGGCCCGAATCTGATGAGAAAGTACCAGTGAGTTGTGAGCCTGTAGCATACTGTGACCCTAGAAATGCATGTTCTCTCGCGTCCTATCACCCAGGTCTGCGCTCGCATCCGCCGGCATCCACACAGACTAGGGTGCTGGCTTCCTGGTCACTGCTTTGTGTGCGGAGCCAGGCGCAGCTCCCTGCCGTGGCTGGCTGCCTTTTTAGTGCGGCTGGGACTTTAGAATGATGGCACCGTGGGAGTCGAATCCACCTCTGCTGTGGCGGTGCTCAACATCATTCAGACATTTACATTAGACGATGGACTCCTCTGTGCTGAGTAAATGGCTTGTTCTAGTAAGTTGGAGTGCAAATTAGCACTGGGTGAGCATTTCCTGGTTCATTTAGTAGAGTGTTAGAGTCTGCTTCCGTGGAATGTTCTCTTCTCAGCTCGGCAAAGCACTAAGAGCTGTTTTAGGGGTACTGTGAACCTGAGGCCAACCCCGAACCTGTGTCCTCCTGTTCTCTTTGTATCAAAGGATCGCATCATAGGACTTCATGTTCTTGGACCGAATGCTGGTGAGATCACCCAGGGGTTTGCAGCCGCCATGAAGTGTGGGCTCACGAAACAGCTGCTCAGTGACACCATCGGGATCCACCCCACATGTGGGGAGGTAAGGGGTGGGAGGCCATGCGGTTGCTTTTAGCTGATGGTGTTTGCAAACCTATTTGAAAGCAGGTTATCAGAGATTTGTAGAGTAGCGTGTATGTGTCTCTCTTTTTTTTTTTTTTTGTTGGTTGTGGGGCTGGAACTCTGGGCCTGGGCGCTGTCCTCAGCTCTTCAGCTCAAGGCAAGCGCTCTACCACTTGAGCCACAGCGCCACTTCCGGTTTTCTAGTGGTTTATTGGAGATAAGCGTCTCACAGACTTTCCTGCCCGTGCTGGCTTTGAAGTGTGATCCTCAGATCTCAGCCTCCTGAGTAGCTAGCATTACAGGCATGAGCCACTGGCGGCTGGCTACGAGAGTGTCTCTTAAAGCAGCAGTGGTGGTCATGTCTCCGTGTGTTCACTGTTCGTTCTTCCTTTGAGCAGGTATTCACAACTCTGGAAATCACAAAGTCATCGGGCCTAGACATCACTCAGAAGGGCTGCTGAGGCTAGCCCGCTGCTGCCGGCCCTCCTTCCCTTCTCCACTCTCTGAAGACCAGATGCCCTGTGCCCTGGACACTGTGGGCACAGAGTCTGGCATAGAGATGAGAAGAGGACAGGAGACGGCAGCAGCGGCCCCAGCCCTGGCTGACGGCAAGCAGCAGGAGGACTGCGCCCTTGACGCCCCGGCCCCGAACCTGTACACAGGTGAGCCGCGGCCGACTCTTGCACGTCAGACCTGAACTCCTCCAAGCCCTTAGGATGGACAGTTAGCCACATTGCCTTTTGTCCCTGCGAGAGTCCCTGCACCCTCTCTTTCCATGTCCCTGGAGATACTCTGGTGGAACTGACAGTCACAGAGCAACTTCCCAGCATCTGGGCCTGGCCCATGCCAGTCCATGGCTTCTGGGAGAGACACTCGCCACTGCAAGAACGCCGTGTGCTCCGCATGGGTTCTAGTCAACTGTTAGAATGCAGCCTTGCAGTGCATTTCACCTGCTGTCAGTGTCCCCACTCGGACCCGCCAGATGCCTGTGCTGGAACCTTGACGCTCTTGCCTGCCTGAGTGTTGCGGGGCGGGAGGCGCTCCGGTCAGAGAAGCACTGGGGCCTCCTTTCACCTTGACCTCAGGGTGCATTAAAAAGTTTTCAGTACCATACTGTGAGCCGCTCTATGGGGTCAAGTCAGCAGAGGAGCAGGGGCACTAGCTTCCAGGGCCCGGGGGAGGGGCCTCGCTGGGTCTCTTGGGAACCTGGGCATCCCAGACTGGGGCTTTCCCAGGAGCCCTTGCTCTCGAGCTGGCTGACGCAGCCCAATGCAGAGTCCTGCCGTCAGAATCCCTAGGCATAAAACATTTAAACTAGCAAGCACCCGCAGAACACCACGGCCATGGTGTCCGGCCGCCCTCTCGGGAGCCCACACTGATACGGCAGGTTGGATGGAGCGGGGTGGTGGTGGTGGTGTGGATGGAGCAGGGGTGGATGGGGGGGTTGGAGGAGGGGAGGTGGATGGGGGGTGGATGGAGCAGGGGCGTTTGGAGGGGGGGTAGATGAAGGGAGAGGAGGTGGATGGGGGGGTGGATGGAGCGGGGGTGGATGGAGCAGGGGTGGATGGGGGGGTTGGAGGAGGGGAGGTGGATGGGGGGGTAGATGGAGGGAGAGGAGGTGGATGGGGGGGTTGGAGGAGGGGAGGTGGATGGGGGGGTTGGAGGAGAGGAGGTGGATGGGGGGGTGGATGGAGCAGGGGTGGATGGATGGAGGAGGATGGATGGAGCAGGGGTGGGTGGATGGAGGGGGGGTAGATGGAGGGAGAGGAGGTGGATGGGGGGGGTTGGAGGAGGGGAGGTGGATGGAGGGGGGTAGATGGAGGGAGAGGAGGTGGATGGGGGGGTTGGAGGAGGGGAGGTGGATGGAGGGGGGGTAGATGGAGGGAGAGGAGGTGGATGGGGGGGTGGATGGAGCAGGGGTGGGTGGATGGAGGGGGGATGGATGGAGCAGGGGCGTTTGGAGGGGGGGTAGATGGAGGGAGAGGAGGTAGATGGGGGGGTGGATGGAGCAGGGGTGGGTGGATGGAGGGAGGGTGGATGGGGGGTCGGGGGTGGAGCGGGGTGGGGCCAGGAGGAATCTGGCTAGGGATGCGGTGGTGAGTGGCCTTCTTCTGTGGGGGAAGGAGAATGGGTGTGACTAGCAGGGAGGGCCACGGGTGGGGAGGGCAGGGGCGCCGGGTGGGATGCGGAGCCGAGCAGTCTGAGGCCCCGGACACGTTCTGTGGATTCAGTAAAGCGTGAACGCCGTCTCTGGGAGGCTTGCTACCCAGCGGCCCCTGGCGCACACAGGCCGGCTCTCCCGAGCCCCCATCCAAGGGGCCCAGGATGTCCCATCCTGGAGACCCTCTGGCTGCGTGGAGAGGGCGCCCTGGGCCGGGATGCGGGCCAGCTTCCGCCCGCGGGGGGCCTCCCCTTCTCAGCCGGGAGCCCCGCGTGCGGCGTCTGCCCCGCGCTTGCCGGTGTGCAGGACACGGGTCCCCTCGGGCGAGCCCTCGCCCCCTCGTGCCCCCGTGCGGCCCGGCGCCCGCCTCTCCCTTCGCTTCCGGGACTCGCGGCGCCGGTGGCTCCCGCCCGTCATCCTAGCAGCCCGGGCAGGAAAGTCCCTGAGACTCTTACCTCCGATTAACCACCAGGAAACCGGAAGTGGCGCTGAGGCTCAAGCGGTAGGGGGCGCCTCGACCGCCGCGGCCTTCCCCCACAGAAGCCGCTCCGGCGGGGGACGGGAGGTTCGCCCGGCGGAGGCCGGACGCACGCAGCGGCTCGAGGCGCTCCTCTTCTCCGTCGGTGGCGGTCCCCGGCACGGCGGCAGGCGCAGGGCTGTGGGCCTGCGGGAGACCCCGCCTTCCCGGCGCCTCCCTCGGCCCCCTGCCCTCCCTCCGGCCCTCCCCCGGCGGGCTCCGGGGACTCAGCAGGCCCGTCCAGTGTGGCTGCCCTTCTGCCTCGGAGGTCCTCGGCCTGTGGCCGTGGGCCTGGTCCTAGCTGTGTCTGTGTTTGCTTGTGTCGTGTGCTCGGCTGGGGTCCTGGCTGCGACAGCAGTCGTCCGGCTCCCACACATGCGCACTCGGGCCCTCGGCGGATGTGGGGTTCCCACGCATGCGCACCTGGGTCCACAGCGGCCGTGAGGCTCCCACGCATGCGCCTCCAAGCCCCGGCGGCTCTCACGCATGCACGCCCCATCCCCACGGCGGGCCACATTATGAATTTTGGAAGAAAACAGGGCGGTCACCGCGGTTCCTGTAATTCATCGAGAAAGGCGAGGGGATCTCGGGACGTCGCACCGGCCTGGGCACGCGGGGCCGGGGCCGGTCCGCAGGGCGCCCCAGCTCGGCCGTGCTCCGCCCCAGACCAGCTCTTCCCTCTGCCCTTCATCCGACCCCGGGCCGCGGGCTCGGCAAGCGCCTCGGTAAGAACGGCCGCGTTTCGGGTCTGGGCTGGAGTTTTTGGAGAAGGGCGGACGCCCTCTCCCGGGCGCTCACGCCCGCCCCGCGCGCCTCCCACAGCCCGGACCATGGCGAGGTCCGGATGACTGCACGGTGAGCGGTGAGCGCGGGAGCCCGGCTGGAGCCGCCTGAGCGCGTGCGCGGCAGCGTGTGGCGCGCCGAGCCCGGAGGGGCGGATGGAGGCGGCCCGGCGGCGGGCCTCGCCTGTGTGCGGGGAGCACCGGGCGCGCCTGTCAGAGGCCTGTCTGCGGCGGGGAGCACCGGGCGCGCCTGTCAGAGGCCTGTCTGCGGCGGGGAGCACCGGGCGCGCCTGTCAGAGGCCTGTCTGCGGCGGGGAGCACCGGGCGCGCCTGTCAGAGGCCTGTCTGCGGCGGGGAGCACCGGGCGCGCCTGTCAGAGGCCTGTCTGCGGCGGGCACCGGGCGCGCCCGTCGGAGGCCTCGCCTGTCTGCGGCGGGCACCGGGCGCGCCCGTCGGAGGCCTGTCTGCGGCGGGCACCGGGCGCGCCCGTCGGAGGCCTCGCCCTCTCCTCGTAGTCAGCCAGTTTCGTGGTCCGCGTGCGCGGGCGTGTCCCGGAGTCTCCCCCGGCTGCAGAGCGCGTGTCTGGCCTTTTCAGGGAAAGGTTTCGGTCCCCTGGTTCCGGGTCGGGGTGCTGGCCCTCCGGGACGGTGAGGCTGCCCGGCCTGCGCCCCGAGCGGCGCCGTCCCGGCCTGCGCCCCGCGTCACCCGCTCACTCCTCACCTGACGCGCGGCTCGCCTTGGAATTCCAGTTTGACTCCGCTCCGGTCGCGTAGAACGTACGGAGTTACTCCGGCTGTCTGGAGTTTGCTCAGGCTTTCCTGCGGAGAAAGTCCGCGGCTGCCTGGCTGCGCTGGCTGCCTGGCTGCGCTGGCTGCCTGGCTGCGCTGGCTGCCTGGCTGCGCTGGCTGCCTGGCTGCGCTGGCTGCCTGGCTGCGCTGGCTGCCTGGCTGCGCTGGCTGCCTGGCTGCGCTGGCTGCCTGGCTGCGCTGGCTGCCTGGCTGCGCTGGCTGCCTGGCTGCGCTGGCTGCCTGGCTGCGCTGGCTGCCTGGCTGCGCTGGCTGCCTGGCTGCGCTGGCTGCCTGGCTGCGCTGGCTGCCTGGCTGCACTGCGCAGGGAAAGGCCTGGGGGCCCCGTGCTCCGCGAGGGCTGGAGCCCGGAGGTCTTTGTTGACTTGTCTTAGTCCTGGCCTGTTCGTCAGTTGTATCCAAGTCTCCTCTGACCTTGTGAGGTGCCTGGGATCCCCAAACTGTGGCCCGCGCACACGTTAGTAGCTGACCTCTCCGTGGGCCACGTGGTCTGTAGGAAGCGCCCTTCTTCATCTCTTGTGATTGGCTTTAGCCTGAAGTTTATTTTATCAGGTAAAGTATGGCGATTCCTGCCTGGTGTTAGGATCTACTTTCTTGGAAGGCCGCTTCCCAGCCTTCCCCCCTCATCCTCTGGCCATCTTTGTTTCTAAAAATGTGTCCGTTTCTGGTAGGTTTTCCTTCTTTTGTGAGTAGAGGTTTTGAAAATAGTCCTTGATAATCATTTGGATGTTTGATGTAATATTTCCTGCGGCATGTCTGATTTTATTGACTTGAATCTCATCTCTTCTTTGTTAATCTTGCCAGTGGCCTGTCAATTTTTATTAATTTTTTTCAAAAAACCCCCAGCTTTTTATTTCATTGACTATGTAGTTTTTTAGTTTCAATTTAATTGATTTTTGCCCTAATCATTGCTCTCTCTCTCACACTGTCTAGTAGTTTTAGGTTGATTTGTTCTTGATTTTCTAGCAGTTTTAGTTGCATCATGAGGTTATTTTTCTGTTTTCTTTATGTGTGCTCTGTATCTGTAAACTTTCCCCTCAGCCTGCTTTTGCTGTATCCCAGAGGTTCCATTGTAACATGTTCATTTGCATGGAAATGTAAGAAATTTCTAATTTCTTCCATGACCCAGGTGTTATTCATTAGAGTGTTATTCAGTCTCCATGTCTTTGAGTGATTGCTGTAATACGTTCTGCTGTTGAGAACTAGTTTGACTCCACTGTGGTCAGGTAGGATGCAAGGAGTTATCTCAATCCTCTTGTTAGGTTCTTTGTGTGTCCTATGATACAATCAAGTTTGTTGAATGTTCCAGGGGCTGCTGAGAATTGGGTTGTTGTTGGTTGGAATACTTTTAGATGGGTAAGTCCATTTGGGTTGTGGTGTCATTTATTTTAGTGTTGTCTTATCTTTTGCTTGGTTGACCTGTCCTTTAGTGAAAGTGGGGTATTAAAATCTCCCACTGTTATTGTGTTGGGGTCCATCCTGTTCTATGTGTCCGAAGGTATTTGTTTAACGTATTCAAGTGCTCTATTATTTGGTGCAAAGCTATTGACCACTGTGATTTCCTCTTCATGGAACATTCCCTTTATTACTATGCATTGACCTTTCTTGAAATGACACAAAGAAGGTCATTAAAATACTCATTTTAAAGTCTATTTTGTCAGCTAACAATATGGCTACTCCCATCTTCTTGCAGAATGTATTATGAAAGATCTTTTTTCCCATACCGTCACTCAGAATTTGTTTTTTATCTTTGACTGTTAGACGGGTCTCTTGGAGACAACAAATGGATG